GTACACTGAGAAAAAAATGTTAACATAGAGACATTTCTGCCTTACCTTTCATCAAGCAGCTAACAGAAAATAAATGTATTTATTGCTAAGCTTGCAAAACTGCAAGGATTAATTGACATTCTGGAAACCTCTTTCTATGTTAAAATTAATTAAAATTGTTATTTACATTATTTCAAGTAGAAATTTGTGTTTTATCTCCATACAGGTTTAGATCCAGTGTCAACAGATCCAATGGGATTTATTAAGTTCTTTTGTAATGTCATATGCTTTTAGGTGGAGGTGTCAGTCACACACAGTAATACTCTGGAGATGGCACTGTCTTCCAGGTGCTTAAAAAGAATGCCATTATTATATGATACCTTGTAGCCGTTGAGGCAAAGAAGTTAAAACATTCTCAGTGCACTGCCAGTGTAAAAATAAGTGTAATTTTCTTTTGAATTGCATTCAAATTGAAGCAATAAAGCACCAAGAGAAATCATCTGACACTTCAGACTTGATACTACAAATCCCATTCAAGGTCAACATAAGCAAGAGTTTCTAAAATGTAATTTAATATTCTACAGGAATCACTGGCGGATTGACTGTGGCATCCTTGGTGTCTATTCCTACAGTCTTGCAAAAAGGAGTTAATGAAAAGGCAGAGTTTAATTCTGTAAGTACAGCATGCAGAGTGGTGAAACTGAACCTTGGTCAGAGACAGTATGGAGAAAGTGAGCTGAAATAATCTCTCTGTGTGTGCGCGCATGTGTGCACGTGCACACCCACGTGCCTGTCTGTGTATGTGTGTATGTACACACCCTAATTCCATCAACTCTCTTGACCGAATAGCTGTTTCTAGCTCTCAAAGGTCATTTAACAGTAGCCATTGATAGAGATACGTAGCTGAAATTTGATGAGATGACTTCCGTGACTGGAATACAGCTACTGAAGGGTATAAATTGTTAAAAAAAGAACAGATTGAATAGAAAGGGTGGTAGAGGTGCACTATATGTCAAAAATATATTCCCTTCTGTCAATTCTTAAATTCTATTTCTTTGTTTATCATTTCCCATCTTGAACACACTGTATTATTGATTTAACTGTTTAATGATTATGATGTTTTATTATATTTTATGATTTGATATTTGTAAGCCGCCCCGAGTAGATACTGCCACGCAGGGTAAAAAAATCTAATAAATAAATAAATAAAATAAATACATATTCCTGCACAGAAATACAGGATTATGTGTTTGGCTGAGATCATATCTAGATTAATAGGATTGGGGAGAAAAATAAAAAAATTAGTTGGAGTCTACTGCTGACTTCAATCAAGGAGAAGAAGAGGATGAAACCTTGATTTAAAAAGAAGCAAAAGTGACGGAGAGTGTATGCTGGATTTTAGAAAAACTTATATTAATAAACTTAGAACAATTAACAATTATGTCCCATGGCGGAAATCCTAACAAGAAAAGGAGTCCAAGATTGGTGGGAATTTATTTAAAAAGGAAATTCTAAATGCACAACTATAAACAGTTCCAACAAGAAAGCAAAAAATAAAAGAAAAAACACGCACACAATGTGGCTTCACAAAAAGCTCAGAAAAGACCTGAAAAAAACAAAAACAAAAAACAAAGGGACACATATCTAAAATGGAAGGAAAACCGTGGCTTCACAAAAAGTGCAGAAAGGACCTTAAAAAAACAAAAACAAAAAACAAAGGGACTCATATCTGAAATGGAAGGAAAACGAGGCCACAAAGGAAGAGAACAGACAGGTAGCAAATGATCACTGGGGTGGCATTAGGAGGACAAAAGCCAAAAATGAGCTGGGGTTAGGAAGAGGTGCTTAAAGCAACAAAAAGCATTATTCTGGTATATTTGTAGCAAAAGACAGAGAAAATAAATAGTGGCTCAGATACTCACTGGGGATGGGAAAATGGTAACAGATGACAAAGAAAAGACAGAAATGCTCAGTTCTTACTTTAGCTCAGTCTTCTCCCAAAAAGCAGTCTATGACCAGCCAGTCAAAGGCAAAATACAGGTGGAGAAAGGATTGCATCTTGACATGGATAAATAAATAGTCAATGATTACCTTATTACTTTGAATCAGTTCAAATCTACAGGGCCCAATGAACAGCATCCAAAAGTATTGAAGGAACGGGTTAAGAACTCTCAGTACCACTGCCTATTACAGTATTTTCTTGAAATCATGGAGGATGACTGGAGGATGGCTAATGTGGTCCCTGTCTTCAAAAAGAGCAAAAAAGAGGAATCTCGAAATTACAAAGCTGTCAACATGACCAATCCCTTTGTTCTTCAAAAAGAGCAAAAAAAGAGGAATCTGGAAATTACAGAGCTGTCAACATGACATCAATCCCTTTGTAATTCTGGAGCAGATTACAAAGCAGTCACTTTCCAAACACCTTGAAAACAATGCCATAATAACTAGAAGCCAACAAAGGTTTGTCAACAAATTCTGCCAAACTAATCTTGTCTCGTTTTTTTAATCCGGTGTTCACTCTGGTAGACAGTGGGAATACTGTAGATGTAATATATCTTGATTTTAGCAAAATCTTTGACAAAATGCTTCATAATACTGTACTCTGATTCGCAAGCGAAGTGTGGGTTGAATAGAATAATTGTCAGATGGATACACAATTGGTTATAGAATCATACTCAGAGAGTTCTTATCAGTGGCTCCTTCTCAAACTGGAAGGAAGTAACAAGTAGGGTACCACAAGAGCCTGGTAATCAATGGCTCCTTCTCAAACTGGAAGTAAGTAACAAGTGGGGTACCACAAGGGCCTGGTGCTATTCAACATTTTTATTAATGTTAAAGGGGGTGTAGAGAATGCTTATAAAATTAATAGTTACACAAAATTAGATGGAATAGCTAATATCCTGAAAGACAGAAACAAAATTCAAAAACATCTTGATAGACTTGAGTACTGGACTGAAAACAAGGCAAATGAGTGGTCCGATGGTCCAGATAGGCGGGGACTGAAAACAAGGTAAAGAGTGGTTCGGTGGTCCAGATATGGTCTGGTGGTCCAGATAGGCGGGGTATAAATCAATGAATGAATGAATGAATGAATGAATGAATGAATGAATGAATGCTATTTTAGGCTGCATTAACAAATGTATAGTCCTCCAATCCCAGGAAGTACTACTCCCCCACTATTCAACACTAGGTAGGCCTCATTTTGAATACTGTGTCCAGTTCTGGGCCCTGCACTTTTAGAAGGATATCTAGGTAGGCCTCATTTTGAGTACTGTGTCTAGTTCTGGGCCCTGCACTTGAAGAAGGATATCAACAAACTGGACCAAGTTCAGAGGAGGGCAACGAGGATGATCAGGGGACTGGAAACCAAGCCCTAGGAGAAAACACTAAGAACTGGGCATGTTTAGCCTTGAGAAAAGAAGACAGAGGGGAGATATGATGGCAGTCTTCAAACACTTCTCATTTTGAGTACTGTGTCTAGTTCTGGGCCCTGCACTTGAAGAAGGATATCAACAAACTGGACCAAGTTCAGAGGAGGGCAACGAGGATGATCAGGGGACTGGAAACCAAGCCCTAGGAGAAAACACTAAGAACTGGGCATGTTTAGCCTTGAGAAAAGAAGACAGAGGGGAGATATGATGGCAGTCTTCAAACACTTGAAATATTGTCATACAGAGGACATGTTCTCAATCATCCCAGAGTGCAGGACACATAATCATAGGCTCAAACTACAGGAAGCCAGATTTCAGCTGAATATCAGGAAAAATGTCCTGTTAAAATAATATGACAGTGGAGCCAATAACCCAGGAGATGATGTGCAAAATGAATAAAATAAATTTCTCTGCTGATGTTATATACAATTTTTTATTTCAATTTCAAAAGAAATTACCATGTTTCAGCAAATTAACAAAAGTCTGAACTTTTGTTGATTAAAATCCATTTCTTCAGACATGTGGGCCATGAATCTGAAACACAGATATAAATCTGTTAGTCATTAGGGTGCCACAATAGTTTGTTTTTGTAATCCTGCTACTGCATTGTAACTGCTCTGCTGTTTTTGTTAGATTTTTTCAAGTCCTCTCTGACTTATGATGATCTTATGAAGCCCTACCCAGCTCTAGTCAACTCAAGCCTGGATGATCTTATGAAGCCCTACCCAGCTCTAGCAAACTCAAGCCTGGGGTTTCTTTCAGGGAGTCAATCCATCTTGTAACTGGTCTTCCTCTTTTATTGCTGCATTTCACTTTTTGCAGCAGTGTTGTCCTTTCCAGATAATCCCTAAAGTAGGGCAACCTCACTTATGTACAACATTTTGGGCCTCCAGGGATAGTTCAGGTTGATTTGAGTTAGGCCCCACATGTTCATTTTTCTGACAATCCAGGAGATCCACAAAGCTCTCCGGCACATTTGAAACAAATCATCATGGATTGTTATTATTATTGTAATTCTTTGCTGTCACATAAATTCTGACTTATATCAATTTATGTCAGGGTGGTTTCGAGTTTCTCTTTCTGGTGGAATTCTGGGACTGTGTACCTTGGCCAAGACCAGACAGTCCAGTGGATCTTGGCTGACCCCACGCCTCGAAGGTAGAGTGGGGACTTCATCTCCTGGGCCCTGGCTCCACAATTGGATGCTCGGAGTTGTACCAGCTATCTCCGACTATTAGTCAGGAGGTTAGCATCCAATTTCAAATCTCCAGCCATTGTGATTACCAGAATCATTAAGCAATATTGTTGGGGACCAGTGAATTCATAATGGCGCTTATTTCCTGTTGGAGTCTCAACCGTATGTCAAATGTTATAAAGCTGAACTTCCAGTCCACAACCCACAGGCTGAGACTGTTGTGACTACACGTGTGGTTGTTCCCTATACATCTGGAGGTGCTAAGTAGAAACCTCTATTGAACTGCTTAAGCATTTTCTTCTTAGCTACTACAAGTAAAGTAACACTTCTAAGTTGGCCAAAGGATAAGGGCAAAGTACAGGACAGCAAATTCCACAATATTTAATTTAGGGCAAGGAAGGGAATGTTTGCAAAGACACTCTGTAGATATTCAAGAGCAGAAACACACACACACACACCCGAGTCAAGGGTCCTAAAAATTGCTCTTGATGATTACGGTACTAGTCTGCAGCATTCAGTCTGAGGTGAAAAAGCCCCCAACTCTGGCTACGTTCTCGGCGCACAGGCTGCGTTTCCCGCCCAGAGGCGTCACGTCACCAGGACGCCGCCAGCTCGGTGGAAGGCGCCGGCAGGCGACTCCCTCCGGCCGCGGGAAGGAGCTGCCGGCTGCGGCGAAGGCTGGCTGGGCCGTTCGCGACTTCCTCGGCCAGGGGGTGGGGGGTGTGCGCGGAAAAGGCGGAGTCCACCAGGGAGAGACGCCACCTCCGGGGGCATGGCAGAGCCCGTCAGGGGGCCGCCCCAGCGGCTGCCGCTCCTTAATACTGGGACGGCGGCGGCGTGCGGGTGGCTGCGCCTCCATCAGCGCTCCTTCGCGCCCGGCGGCGTTGCTATGCGGGACTATGACGACCTGGTGGCCTTTCTGGGCGAGTGGGGCCCCTTCCAGCGCCTCGTCTTCTTCCTGCTCAGCGCCAGCATCATCCCGAACGGCTTCAACGGCATGTCGGTCGTCTTCCTGGCCGACACCCCGGAGCACCGGTGCCGGGTGCCGGCCAGCGCCAACCTGAGCGCCGAGTGGCTCAACGCCAGCATCCCGCTGGAGGTGCGCGACGGGCGGCAGGTGCCCAGCCGCTGCCGCCGCTACCGCCTCGACGCCCTGCGCAACTTCTCGGCCGCCCGGCTGGAGCCCGGCCGCGACGTCAACCTCAGCCAGGTGGAGCAGGAGAAGTGCCTGGACGGCTGGGAGTACAGCCGCGACCCCTTCCTTTCCACCATCGTCAGCGAGGTACGGTGGCGCCTCCACGGCCCGAGGAGGCGGCGGCGGGTTGGCGCGCGTTTTGCCTGAGCAGGGCTCGTCCCTGGGGGGGAGGTGGTAAGGGGGTTGGGTTGCGTTCAGTGAGTCGGCGAGGCGCAGGCAGGAGGTCCAGATCCCCAAATGACACTCGGTCAGGTTCCCCGAGTGACCTTGAGCCACTCGCCGCCTCGCCTAACCTGTGGAGTGGTGGTGTGCGCCCAGTGGGGGAAAGGGCATACAATACCTTCCTTTGACTTACCTGAAGTTACCGGCGGGGCGCTAAAAAATGAATAAATCTCATTGTGGTGTGATTGGAATACTTCCCGGCGTTCATTGTTCATTGCACGAACCTCCTCATTCTCCTTCACTAATTCCTGCTAAATTGCAAACTGCAAGCCTGATCTCCCGTTGCCATGTTCCCTGCTGTCGTCACTCTGGATCGCTTGGTGGTTGTTTTTATTCCCCCGCCCCCCCCCTTGGGTTACTCTGCCCAAGTGCCATGCAACTTTTCACTCTGCTGTAGTCTCCCTGTCTTCAATTCAATCCGTTTAGGTTACATTTAGGGCTGCTGGCTTCCCAGTGCTTTTTACATCTTTCTTGGCAAACGATTATTTTTCTCACTGTTCCTTTAGTACAAGGGGAGTTGCAAATATGTTTAGTTGTTTCTGTTTAGGACAGGTGCTTTATACTTACAGTCCTAAGAAGGAATAATATCACTGACTTAATATCCCACTAAACACAGCAAAATTTGATTTTGAGTAAAAAAATTACTCTATATCCCACTAAACACAGCAAAATTTGATTCTGAGTAAAAAGACAAAGAATTACTCTGTTAGTGGTTGTTGTGGGTTTTTCGGGCTCTTTGGTCGTGTTCTGAAGGTTGTTCTTCCTAACGTTTCGCCAGTCTCTGTGGCCATGGACATCTTCAGAGGACAACACTCTGTGTTCTGTTAGTCTGTCTTCTTCTGTATTGCCTCATTTTACTAATGCATTTGCCATCCATAGTGTGTTCAATCAGTTTATTATTTACTTTTATAGTAATCAATATTTAGATCTTGTTGTTTCACCAAGTGCAACAGATGAAATAGACTGTTCACATTCTTAACTAGTTCAGATGGTTTGGGGAAATTCCATCACATTTAAACATACAGCCATCCAGGAAAGTTAGTTTCGTTTAACACACTAAGGTTTCTTCACCTCTACAAAGCCTTGCTTCACCTTGCCCCACCTCATATCCATATCCCTGCCTTCAAGTAACATATCCTTTGCCCCAGTTTTTCTAATTTAATTACTTATTCATAGTTCCAAACTAAATGATAGTTGTAAAAGAAACAATAAAGTAAAAGTGGGTAAGAAACCTGTTTCACAAAATCTGAGTCAGTGCAGATTAGAAATAACTGATAGAGAGGGCCACTTTCAAACTGTCTGACAAGGCGGTTACACTGTTGATTTGTATTGATCTCAGCACCAATGTATTTTAAATCAATTTACAGTCACATTATTTTTGTGTCACTCTGTGTGTTCATTTTGAAAATTACCGTATTTCTCTGATATAAAGTAGGGGTTTATACATGCCTTGGGAAACTACATGTGAGGTTTTAAATCATTTCATTAACCAGTATGTTTGCAGATCATGTTTTCAGTGTTGTGTACTATTTCTTAAGTTTTCAGGCATCCTTTCGAAATAATTTTAGACAAACGACAGTGTCCCTACCATCTGAAGCCCAGTATTTGATATGACAGGGATGTTCACACTGCCTGAAGCAATTCATAAAGTATAGATTTCAGAAGTATGTTAAGGTAAAAAGCCCCTGCCAGACTCTTCAAAAAATTCAGTTTATAGTCAAAAAGAAGCTGGCTTCACTTTGTGTTGTGTAGCCAGGATTTTTAAAATTAATTACACAGAACCTGATTCAACAGCAGATCTTATTGTCAGTGTAACCATACCCTCAGCTAGAGCTGGATTTCATGAAAAGCTGATAAGAGACTCAAGTCTGGCCAAGGTTTCGCTGCCTCTTTCCTGACCCTCCAAAGTTGGCTACAGTTGACAGCCAAAAATTTCCTGCATCTGAACACTTCAAAAATGTGTGTGTTTTAGAGCAGTTATGTAACATCTATAGCCTTTCACCTACTTTCCACCTTTCAGGTTTACACTTATTCAGCTTTCTAATCTGCTGCTGTAGCTCTGCCAATTCATCTTCTGCTTGGCTGCCTATTTTATGTTGTTTTGGCAGTTAGCCAGAGTAACCTTTGTCTGACATTTACTCTTAGATGACATCTAGGAAAAATGTTTGACTTGGATGCCGCTTAAATCCCATTATCTATTATTTACTAAATCCTCCTCTGTTTCTCCAGTTTACTGGGGGAATTTTTATGTTCACACCTCCTTATTTGTATGTTTACAGCAGTATGCCCCTTCCTTTTTGGGGGCTTCTTTAATTGACACTTCCAAGAAAAATGATACCCTGCCGCAGTCTTATGTTAATATTCAGTGAGAAAAACATTGGTTTTGTGTCATGGATAAAATGCCAGCTTATCTTTTTTAAACTTTCGTTTGAAGAAAGAAGCTAGTTACAGTCATTGGCCTCAATTTTCCTAGTTATCTTCCTACGCTATCCAGTGCCCCAGTATCCATTTCCATTTCATTGTTTGTCACTGTCACATTCCCACCTGTCCTATGGCTGTTTCACCAAGCAAAGAGCACAAGCTACGTGTCATGTCACTGTCGCCAGTTGATTACATCAGCATTATGTATTATTAATAACAGAGGTTCCGGCCATGTGTCATTTTTGTTGTTGTTTAGTCATTTAGTCGTGTCTGACTTTTCGTGACCCCCTGAACCAGAGCACGCCAGGCCCTCTTGCCTTCCACTGCCTCCCAGAGTTTGGTCAAATTCATGTTGGTTGCTTCAGTGACACTGTCCAGCCATCTCATCCTCTGTCGTCCCCTTCTCCTCTTGCCCTCACACTTTCCCAACATCAGGGGCTTTTCCAGGGAGTGTGTCATTTTTAATAGAAACAAATAGGTTGTTTATTAATACAGGTGATGAAGGTACAAACAATGTCTTTAACTCTTAACAAACCATCCTACTTCATCCTCTCTCAACCACCAACCCTGTCTCTCTCCACCCAAACTCCAAAACCACCAATCCTCAAATCTAAAAGTCTCAGTCTCCTCTCTCTACTTTACAATCTAAATACTTCATCCACTCTCAACCACCAACCCTCAAATCTAAAAGTCTCTATCTTTTCTCTCCACTTTATAATCTAAACCTCCCCCTGCAGAGACTCTTATATCTCATGACTCTTCCTTTCCAGCACTCTCAGTGGTCCATGCAGATAGCACATTAATATTCATGACCTGGGCAGACACCACAGTCACCAATAGCCAATGTCTGATTAGCAAGTTGCCTCTTACACTGCCTTACAGAGCAACCTTCTGACTGTTCTGCCACCCCAGTGTCCAGGCATGGCCTTCTCCTCGTTGTTATAGATATCCCTTCCATTCCTTTCCTTGCCCCATTATTTCCTTACCTTCACATCAACTGCCTGAGTTAATGTCATAGAATCTCTGTCAGAGAAACATTTACTTAGTAGTGACTTCTGTTCGTTCCTTGCCGTTATAATATTATGCTAGTTTCTTCCAGCTATTCAGCGCCAACTCTAGTTCTTCTTTCACTTCTTGCTTGTGTCACTCTGTGTGTTCACTTTGAAGATTATTACTCTGATATAAATTAGGTGCTTAAAACTGCCTCAGGAAACATGAGGTTTTAAATCTTTCCATTAGCCAGCATGTTTGCAGACCACATTTTCAATGTTGTTTAGTATTTCCTTGGTTTTATAATGCCTTTGACATCGAAAGCTTTCACAGCTAAAGTATTAGGCAAAGGGTTGACTAGAACAATTACCCGTACTCAGCCATTGGGCCTCTCTGGACAGGACCAAGAGTCATCAGGACCAATCCCCTGCCAAAACAGTGCATGCACAGAAATGTCAGAATTTGGAGAATTCTGTGGATTCAACTGTGGAAGGTTTCTCAATTGGCCATTTAAGACAGAGCAAACAAAATATTTTTAAGTGATGCTATGTCTACTATGGTAAAATGGTAAATATATATTTTTTCATTTATATATTCATGGATAAATATATATTCATTTTCCTGTCCCACTCTTAGAAGAACTATTCAAGTTGCTGATGTTGTGATGTGGCTTTGTTTGTTAAGCCACTTGATGTTTGGAACAGTTGTTGCTTGAATCAGGAGATCATTGGAACTCCCTCCCACAGAAGGCCAGGCTGGCTCCATCTTTGCTGTCTTTCAGCAAGCAAACAAAGACCTTTCCCTTCAGGCAGTCATTCCTTGAAATGACAGGTTGGCCAAGGGAATTTTTTTTTAACGGAGCATTTTATTCTGTGTTTTACTTGTGTTTTTAATATTTTTCTTTTATGAGTTTTAATATATTTGTTTAATACTTTTTAAAATATTCTAATCTATTATTTGGCAAAAAAGTTGCTGATATTGTGATGTGGCTTTGTTTATTAAGCCACTTGATATTTGGCACAGTTGTTGCTTGAATCAGGAGATCATTGGAACTCCCTCCCACAGAAGGCCAGGCTGGCTCCATCTTTGCTGTCCTTCAGCAAGCAAACAAAGACCTTTCCCTTCAGGCAGTCTTTCCTTCAAATGACAGGTTGGCCAAGGGAATTTTTTTTAATGGAGCATTTTATTCTGTGTTTTACTTGTGTTTTTAATATTTTTCTTTTATGAGTTTTAATAAATTTGTTTAATACTTTTTAAAATATTCTAATCTATTATTTGGCAAAATAAAATACTAGGTGCTGTACTGAAGAGATGCTTAGTTGTGGAACAAATAATTTGCATTCAGAGAGTCGCAGCTTCAGTCCTCCAACTCACGGGGGGGGGGGGAAGAACCTTGATGAAAACCATGGAAAGTTGCTGCTAGTCAGAGTTGACGATACTGAGCTTGATAGATC